TCAAAAGGAGGGATGGAAAGTCTCTTCCTCAGAGTACAGGAGACACATGTTTAGGCAGTTAGAGTATTGTTCTTGTATGTGATCCTGACACACCACTCCCTTAAGACAGTGGGAAAGCCTTGTGTTATATGCTACATCCTTGGCTACTTCGAAGTGTAACATGTAAACCATCTTCCACACTCAGCTTTTACCAGATAGAATAGATTCATTTACTAGGGAATTTTAAAAGTGAAGTGCAATACAGTTTGTCCTCATAATATGAAATAAAAATACTGTGCCTGAACTGAGAAGCTGGGCAGCAGCAGCAGAACCTCTGTCTTGTAACGATATCAAGGGTGGACACAAATACAGGTCTCATGAGCTAAATGTATAGGTGAAGAATAATGTGAATTAAAGAAGAAATGATTCAACCTTAACGTCTTATCTGACACTATCCTGCATTTAGTCATTTGTGATTGAATTTAAAAGTTATACCTTCTGAGGCTCTGCCCATTCTAAATGCTGATATAATATCAATATTCTCACATAGATATATACGAGAATAATATACAAGGGTATAATAAAGGCAAATGTAGTGTTGGCAGCAAAGCAACATAGGGTAGTTTAAAAGTTCATAGATATTGCCCCTTAAATGTTTCATGATTTGAAGTTATTTCTGAAAATAAACAGCAGGTCTGGAAATATTTTCAAAATGTAGAATAAATTGGAAGGATGCTTTAGACTAGAAGAGCTGAAAACATCAAGCAGCACAGATCAATTTCTGTACCAAACACTGAGGGCAAGTATACTTTTCAAGTCTATCCCAAAGGTTCTCAGTATTTATCTTTGCAGATAAATACTTAGATAGCTCTGCATGACAAATATGAGTGCCTGGAATCTAAGGATTTCTTGGAACAGATGAATGTGAGCGAGAAATTAATTCAAGGAGCAAAGGCAGAAAAAAGCAATTTAGCTGCATCTTAGCTTGACCTGCCTGACGCGTGTGTTTCCATCTCTCTTGTTTTAATGAAGAGGATGCTAAGCAAATATCATATTCCTGAAAAGATTCAGTCACATACTGAAAAGTGTTTCAGCTTTCTTTGTTCATTTTCAGGAGGGGAGAGAGATAATGAAAAGACTTGGAATACAAAATATAATGTAAAAAAATCAGCTTGAGGACTTTTATAAATCTCAAAAAAAATATAAAAGACAACCAGAGAGTGTATGTAATAGCTCCACAAAAGAAACAGAAAGATGTCTAAGTAATAAAAGAAAAATCCTTCAATAAAAAACATGTCTGTGCAAGAACTTGGAAGCCAGAGCAAAAGGAACATGGTTTGTAGTGTATACATATGCAAAAAACTTTTTAAAGGGCTATTATTAAGCCTGATCTATTTCTTGCAATGAGAATTCTTCAATTGAGTTCCCTGGTGAAGAATTATGCCATAGGTTTTCAAATGATTCTGTGCTTCACCTAATGGTACTAAAGAATAAATTGGTATTTTCCAAATAAGTTAGCTAAAGTTCTCTTGGCTGTTACCTAGCTGAATGTCTCATGAAGTCAAGCAGTTGTTAATGACAGTGCAAACAGTGCCAAGCACAGATCAACCCAGAACAAGAGTAGAACAAATACTTTCTTATATTAGAAGCATGTGGGGAAAGTGGTTGGAAGCATTATTGTTTTACTGGCTGGCATATGTTTTCCAACACAGTCCATTCCAAAAATGTTCATAGTAATTGGCACCAGAGGGAAAAGAGAAGGGAGGTCAGATTAAGGCTACCCAAACCAGCAGAAAAAAAATCATCACATTAGTAGAGCAGCAGTATGGCCCCTTACAAGCAAAGGGAATGGTTGCTGTTGCCAGGAAAACAGTCAAGGTGGGAGTAAGTTCTTACTCCTTTGACAAGGTCATTGAAGAGTGGTAATCCTGGGGTTTCTCTTTCCATAGTTGAGCAGGACTGTTTTAGGACCACTGGAGAAATATTGGAGCAAAAATATATAGTGCAGAAGAATAAACAAGGAACACAGACTAGACCACATCCAACCACTTTAAACATAGCCTTTTCTTCTTTGCAAAAGTGTGAAAAAAATAAATCAATACACTCTTATCTAGGTATTTATGGTAAGAGATTGGGTTTATGAGAGAGGGGAGTGGTTTTAAGACTGCGTACTCTGAGGAGCAGGAATATGCAGACAAGAAAATGAAGGACTGCACACTTTTCCATGTATGGTTAACACTCCGTGTGTAGTTGATACTCATGCCAACCCATATCTTCTGATCCTGAGATTTTACACAGAGATTAAAGTCATTCAAAATGAATTCTAAAAGTTCTGTGAATGCATTTAGCCATCACTAAAAATAAAAATAACACCAGGATGTCAGTAATGGTTAAACCTGCAAAAATTGCAACATTTTCTTTCTGGTCTAGGGCTGATACACATATAGATGTGAGTCTCACACAAGTGATTTTTGCCAATAAAACTGCCAACTAATCTACTCACAGTGCAAGAGGGAAGAAACATGCTAAGAAATGAAGTAATTAATTGCTCAAACTAGTACACAGGTGCTGACTGAATAGTTTCATGTTACCAAAAATAAATATAACTGAATTTCAAGTTCCATGAGAAAATCCTAAAAAGTTTAGAGGCAAAGATCTGGAAACTCAAGGAAAAGGTACAAGAGAAGCCAGACAGGACTGACAGTCAAAATGGAAACTGCATGCTTTTTTTGGTGCAACCCAGGATATGGTTGGCTTTCTGGGCTGTAATGGCACATTGCTGGCTCATGTCCAGCTTCCCATCTATCAGTACTCCCATGTTTTTTTTGGCAGAGCTGTGCTCAATCCTATCATCTCCTAGCTTGTATTGGTAGTGAATGTTTCCTCAACCCATATGCAAGACTTTGCACCTCGATTTTTTGATTTACCTGGGCCCACTTATGAAGCCTATCTAGATCCGTCTGGATGACATCCTGTTCACCTGACTTGTCATCTGTGCTGCACAGCTTGGTGTCACCAGCAAACTTTCTGAGGGTGCACTCGACCCCATACTCAGCGTCACTGATGAAGATATTACAGATATTATTGCAAATACTCCTGTGGGATACCACTTGTCACTAATCACCATACAGACAGTGAGCAATTGACTATCACTCTCTGGACTTGATCCTGCAGCCAGTTCTTTGTCCATTGAACAGTCTACCCATCAAATCCATGTGTTTCTAATTTGGAGAGAGACATGTTGTGGGGTACCACATCAAAGGCCTGAAATCCAGATAGATTACATCAGTGGTTCTTTCCTTGTACATTGATGCCATCAAAGAAGGCCACTACATTGGTCAAGAAAGATTTTCCCTTGGTGAAGCCATGATGGCTCTCCCATATCACCTCCCTGTCTTCCATGAATATCTATTTTTCCAGTCTTTCATACGGCCTTGACCCAAAGCTCACTGAAGTCAATCTCAAAAATCTGAGGCTCCAATAAGACTTGGAAACTGATCTTTAGTTAGATAATGAGCACTCTCTATGATCCTGTATTAAGTATTTGTCACTATCTCTTAGAAAGACTAATTTTTTTATGTCTGGAAGAAAGTATGATTTTCTGAGCTGCAAGGCTTCAGAACTTAATTCAGGTTTCCATTTTGTGTTTCCTACTTGTGATGGGAAAGGAGGTTAGGGAAGACAGCCTCTGCTTCACTTACTAGTGGATTTCCTACAGTTTTTCTCTTTTCTTCATTTTCATATTAAAACAAAACAACAACAAAAACCCTATAGCCACTCTCACTTGTTTGTAGAAGAATAAGACAGGCTGTAACTCAGTTTTGCTCCATCAACCAGCCTGACAACCCAAGCTAGTTCTGAATGAGCCAACCTATGTAATCTAGTGTCATGCCTGTACTTCTGCCCTGGATTTGACAAGTCAGCTGTTATTAGCTCTTGTTTCTCTCCATTATATTTACACTGTACTCTCTCATCAAGTGGATCACCCATATTTTTCACGATTACGGCTCTATAAAACAGGTATTCCTTTGGATGGTTTAGGTCCCCATTTCTGCAGGGTTACAGTCTTATCATGAAACTGTAAAAGGAGATGAATTTCAAAGAAAAAGGGAAAGAATGAAAACCCCTCTGTTTGTGAAAAAGCAAGATCTTTTTGCCCATCTAGAAGTTTATTGCACAAATCATGCATCTCCTTCTGCAGACAAGCATATGAGAGAGAAGCAAGGGATCCAAACACCATGGACTTCATTTGAGTTTGTGAGAAGGAAACTGGTACAACTGTGTGAATGACAGAGACCAGCAGGCAGTTCCATAGGAAAAAAAATGAATTAGGAATGTTTCTAAAAACAGTGAAGAGTAGTGCAAAATGTTTCAATTCAACACCCTTCTCATGTATTATCTTAAGCATGACCTTCCAGATAAAGAAATATTGATAACTTCTTTGAAGACTTCTAGTTCATGAGTTTGAGTAAAATTTTAATGCTGTGCCAAAAATAAAGTACAAAAAAGTGGGAAAAAAAAAGACCTCGAATAAAGGAACAACAGTACAGCTTCAGATTAAATTTCATTACTTTTAATACAGTAGTGTATGTTTTACTGCTTATGGTATAAAAAGGCAAAGTAAAAGAAAATGTGAGATATGCCATTTTTAGATGTGCAACTCTGAGTCTAATATTGATTCTTTTTTTCCCCACTACTTTCCTTCTTTTTCTGAGGAAATGGTAAGAAAAGGAAAAATTCATAAAAAGCAGCAAACTGCAAGGAACTATTTTAAATTCATGCATAAGTGGACTCTTTTCCATTTCTCTTTTTTAAATTTTTTACTTTTAATTTAAAAATACATTTTCAACCTTACTTTCATAAGTATTTTCTTCTCCATAATGGCTCATGTCTAATTTTATAAAAGGTTTGGAGTAGTTGTCTGTGATTTTAAATATACATTTTTACCCACAGAGATTTATGCTTGAAGAAACAAAGCAAGAGATATCTCGGTAAATGTAGTATTGCACTGGGAACTTCAATTTTTTTTTTTTTTGAGCTCAATTTAAAAGTGCTCCAAATAAGTCAGAATACCAACACAACTTGTCTGTCTTCCCATTCAGTCCAGAGCCAAATCCAATTAGTGCTAGTTAATGATGCCTCCCTGATAAGGGAAGATAGCTGTACTGAGAAAACTCAAAGCAAATGGACACACAAAAATCAATTATGTCACTCATTGCAGGTTATCTCATCATCTGAGGCAATCCAAATGCAGATGCTCAAGGCAAAGTCTACATCCCACTTCTCTAGGCACATTTTAGTGAATATAGAAAAGGTTTCTCTGAGACGATGAAAGCTTTCATATGTTTCCAAGATAGCAGATGTGGAAAACAGCAGATCTGTTCACATCCTTAAAACTCTTAGAGGGTCTTCTGCTCTCCTTTTCTCTCTACTAAAAAAGACAGAAACATTTTAAGCCTGTTATGTTGTAACTCGCTTGTAATACTGCTGTTCCTGTAGATGAGCTACTACCACTCTTAGATTCAAAGGCACAAAGGTGTAATATGACTCAAGGTCACCGAGCTGCTGACAGGAAGAAACTGGAAATAAATGTGTATAAGACAGCAGAGAGTTGGAGAAATGCTTCTATGTGTTACACAAGTTATACTAGCATCATTATGCTGTAAAAATCTACAGAGTAGGTATAGTCAGAGCAGTATACAGCTTCCAGTAAATCCAGTAAGGTTCAATAGGAAATTGCGTGTATATACTTAGTAATCTCAGAAGGTGAAATCCTAAAATGAAAGAAATACTTCTGTATCCCCGAGCTTATAACTCAATCTTCAGCAGATACTGTTAGAAATCCAGACACTGGGCCCAGCAGATTGGGTCACTCTGAAGTGAAATTCACTGGAAACAGAAAAAAGCATTTTGAGAAATTCTAAAAATATATCTCTTATTCTTTATTGTACATTTTATCAGTTTGTTTTACACAAGCGGGGTGCAAGAATCAGTGTAGTAAGTTAATGTACTCATCTGAGAATCTTATTACTTTGGCTCCTTTATGTTGGCACAATTTTTTTTTTTATCTATGAGGCTTCCTTATTAAGGCAGAAGTGATGTAAAAAAAACTCGGCTCCCATTTAGGAACCTAAATGAAGCAGTTCTTTTCTCAACAGTGTGCATTCAACAGATCTATTCCTCTCAATGGGATATGCTGAGAGTTAAATATCTCTCTGGTTCGTTTATGCGTTTAAATGGAAATGAACTTTTCAGACAGTCTGCCTTCCCATATTGTTATCAAATCAGGAACTACTGGGTTGCTGATTGCTTTTGACAATCTATCTTTTAAACTTTAATAGCAAAAACCATTCACTATTATTATCACACAGAATAATATACGATAAATTTTTTAGCAGGATTTAGACAAGCACTAAGCATTCAAACAATATCCTCTTATTTAAAATTTGTAAATAGTGAGCTTATAATTTCCATTTAGCTTTAGCCCACCTGAGAGTTCTGATCAGTTCTAAAATAGATATTCCTATTAAATACCACAATAAAAGCAATACTTCTCGCCTAAAATGAATATAGGTGAATCTTCTTTTTTTTTACTGTATGCTGGTTGCTAATATGACTGAACAGATACAGAAGGATTTGAGTTCTTTGAGACAGACAATACATTCCTGAAGAACCTGGTGATATCTTTCTACCTTAGAAATGTAGATTACAGAGTTGGAAGTGATTTTTCATCCACTGAACTTCATGAATTCCTACCTTTCCAGGCACCATGACAACTGACAATCTTTCTCAAAAATTAGAAATCCATTCAGAAATATCAAGATCAGCTATGCCTTGTTCAGTTCAGGTCAGACACTTGACCTCCTGTTTCTCAGTTCTAATGGGAGATTTCTAATCAATGGACTGCAGATAACAACACTAAATGAATCACTCTGTCCCTTTCATCTCTACCTCAACTTTAAAGAACTTTGGAACAAAAGTTTCACCAAATTCATTCCTCAACCTGTGGCTGCTCTTATCAGGTTAAGCTCAGCAACATTTGTAGAGCACAGCAGCTTTCTGTTAACTCTGAGTTCTGTAGCACAAGGCAAGATGCTACTTTCACAGCTTTCTGCTTTTTGCTATTTCTAAAAGCAAAGATTTCTTACATTCCCAGAGACCACAATGCTATGTTGCATTTTGGGACACTACACAGAGCTTGTTCAACTTTCCCAGTTGAAAATAGATATCTGTCACTTCAGATTATCTCAGAGATAATAAAACCCATTCTTTCTGCAGTCAATATCTACCCATATTAAAAGAATGCAACATTTACTCCTTTATACTACTAGCTTATCCACTACAAAAGAACCTGAGGATATTAAATCAGTCTATTCCTGTAAGGCGCCTCAAATATACCATCTCAATCTATAACACTATCAATATTTCAAAACGCCATCAAAGTACTTATAAGTTTACTTTGTTTCTACTACATGGACAAATGCTTTTGTTCTACCTTAATGATTAAAAGGTTGCTGTATTTGTATTTAGATTTTTAATAACATTAATTTTTTTATGAATGATTACTTTAATGGACACTGTGTTTCAAATTACTTTTTCTAAAATTGAATGATTATCCTTTTCTATCAAATATTTACAACTCAGTAAGGCTAATAATATAAACAGTGAAACACTTCTAATTCTAACTCTAATTCCAAGAACGTTTCACTGTGTTGGGCCACTCTGAAAGTAATGTCTTTATTTATTTCCGTGGAAACTACAAATGATACAAAGAGCAAGATAACACTACTCGATAAAGCAAATTCTCAGTTACAAAACAGTATTTTTCACTATAGTTACCATCACTAGCTGAATGTTTTAACCAATAATTAAAAAGAACCTGTGTGCCATGTTCATAAAAACCTGCATAAGCAGAGATGACCCATTGTTTCACAGCTACTATGATGGTGTTGTTCCCAGGAAATTTTTACCCTTGTAGTCTATCTTTCACTGGTCTGAACAGATGGAAGTCAGAAAGCACAAAACCCAGAGTATATGGTTGGTGTGATAGAACAGATCCGCCGAAATTGGTAGTGTGTTACATGGTCTTCAAACTGGTACTAGCCTAGCTCTACCATGTTGCAAGGGAAAGGCTGCCTTTTTCTCTAGCCTGACTGTGAAAGCTGAAACCTTCAGATTAGTTCAGCATCACAACACAGCAGTCAAAGCTGACGGTTTTTCTGAGTTCCAGGAAAACTAGAAGGATTACACCTTCCATATCCCAAAAGACACTTGTAAGATCAATAAATATACAGATGTTGTAAAGTTTTGTAAGATCAGTAAGTATACAGAGAAGTTAGGCTGATAAGAGTACCACATTAGAAAAGATAATTAGAGATAAACAAAAAGCACTCACTGGTGTTGTAGGCCTGTAAGAAACTCTATGAGGAGCAACCTCCAGAGAGAGATAGTTCTTCAGTTCCAGTCAGCCCTTAAATGGGGGGTTGTCTAGAAGAGGTGGAGCCAGGCTCCACCCCTTCCAATCACACAAGTGAATTGCCTTCACCTGTGCTCCCACGGCTGACTCAGTGCTCGCCTCAGGTGGTCAATCAGAGGTTCAGGCTGTGATCCAACAGTTCCCTTACAATGGCACCTATCACTTAACCCACTGAGGGCTGTATCTTGAACTTCTTCAGCAAGGAATTTGCACATCACCACTCCACAGACTTCCATTTTGAGTATGGCTCAAAGTGGTGACACCATGTCTCATCACCCACAGTGATAACATTCAGGAAACTGTCACCTTCAGCCTTGTATGTCTTCAGTACATCTGTACAAATTTGCATACAGTGTTCCTTCTGTTCCTGTGTGAATATTTGTGAGTCCACCTGCTGCAGCCTTTGCAGTATTCCAGTGTGGCCACCATCATTTCCAGAGCATTGAAGCCATTGAAAATTATAGCTAACAGGAGTGACTATGTTGAAAAATATTTTTTTTGTAGCTGAGAATTTTCTCTATCAAATAGTGCTATTGTGCTCTTTGTATCTATTACATTTTCCATGGAATTAGTAGGACATTACTTTCAGTGAGCTATGTAAGTTTCAATTCAGATAACGGAAATTGTATGAACACAATCATCTCCATTGTGATCAACTTCACCAAACGCAGGCTTTCAGAACTTGGTTTTGATCTAAGCCATCTAATTTCTACTTCTATCCTACTTCAAGAGTAGGTAGTGCAAGTAGCAAGTGCCACCTATGTGACAAAGCATATGTCCACCTATGTTATCCAATTTCAGAAGTGGTTCATGTATGTAATAAGAGAAATTATAGAGCTATTACAATACATAATGTTAATTAGGAAATTTGTGTGATGGAAATAACTATGCCAAAGCATGAAGAAACTGATAGTGATGAAATCAATCTGACTTTAGTCTTGGGCCTGGGGTGTTCATAGCCTTCTTCCTCACTGTTACTATGCTCAGCTTAAGGATAGATGTTCTGCTTTCAAAACATAAAGAAATTTCCACAAATTTACGATAATAGATATACCAGCCTTTTTATTTTATGTAAAGTAATTGATCTGAAATATTCAAGCATGAGATTTGTCTTATGTGATTCTTTTTTACAACAGTGCTGTAAGTGTATAAATCGTTCTAAATTCCAAGTATTGTTCAGGACAAGAAAAGATATTCACATGCTATCGAATTCAAAATGTATCTTGTTAATCATCTGGGATAAATCTCATTTAATTTCATAATTAAGTTTGTAAGAAGAGTACTTCACCAAGGACAATATAACAAATATTTATATAAAATTGTCTGGTTATTTTTTCCTGTGGAGAAAAGGTCTTACCATGTGTATGCAAAGAATTTCAGATTTTCAAAATTACAAAGATAGTGTATTAGTTCCATAGTCAAAAATTGATAATGCTGTATTTACTATGAAATGTTCAAAGTCTTCAAAATCTATAAGATGTGATTTTATGAAAAAACTGTTTAAAAGTGGCATCTTGGAAGTCAGGCAGTGTAGTAGTGTAGAATATTTTCTTCTGTGAGTATGAAGGGAAAGGGACTTTTGCAGACTCTTAGAAAAAAGATTTGACACTCTCTCAACTCTTCAGTGTTATTATTTTGCTGGAAATCAGATAGATGCATGAAAGCCTGGAGTTATTAAAGTTTAAAGTTTTTTTAAAAAGTATATATATATATATGTATATGTATATATATAAAAAATTTCTGTGATCTTAGCTAACTGAAGTGCAGGCTAATATGATCTGAAGAGCCTGTCCCTTGATTTATGGAAGAAATACCGTCTTTCTAATGCAGTAAGTATTTCAGTGGTCTCTTTTGATGAATAAAGATGTGAAAAAATATGACATTTATGAAAGATTGAGCAGAGATTAAGATCATACAGAGAGTAGATTAATAACGTACCAAAAACAGATTTTTGTGGGGAGAAAACATGATTTTAAAAGACTGCTCATAACTGTAAAAAAAAAATTTAATCCAGACATACTATTTATTTCTAAATGGAAATTAATTGAATTAATTTTCATCTGATGAAGTATTCACTCACATTTTCACATTTCAGAAGATTCTTCCCTTTTTTCCTAGGTTCAAATACACCCTATGGGGAAAGGCATCACAAATACTGTAGTTAACCTAGATTTTGCTGCCTGAATAGTGTTTTCTCTTCCCTGTTTACTCACAAAACTTAGGGGAAATAATTATCTCTAAAACCTCTTTTCTTTGAAATTCATCAAATTTGTCCAAAAGATTCAAAACACAGTAGATGAGCACAACAGACAGGAGGACAAACATTATCCCAGTAATATAAGTAAGCCTCTTTTCCTTAGAAAAATGAGTTAAACAACTAAGCAGAGATATACTTTCTGGCATAGTTGTAAAAGGGAGTTGGTCAGAGAGCAGCCCATACAGTTAATTATGCATCAGTTAGGAAACTAGATAGACCACGTAGGCTGAGATCAGCATAGGCATTAAAGAGCTGTATTTAGTTCTGCCAACATCAATGGACTTCTGGCCATTTCCTCCAGAAAATCTAATCTACTGACAGCTAATAAAAAGTCTTCTTTAGCCAGAGTGGTAGGGACTTGTGTATTTAGGGAAGCTCTATTTCCCGTGCTGTATGTACTATGAGATTAGCAGACAGCTCTGATTTCTTTGTGGCAGTACACATTCTTCTCTGTACGAGTGTTGCCTTCCTTTAACTGTATCGTATTATTTCCTTTCTATCCCCCAAGCAGTGACAGTTAAAAGCTGAAATTCTAGTGATAACTGTTACTGGAAATAGTAATGAACAATTGTCAAAGATTATTTTTACAATACCTGAAGATTGAAAATAGCCAAAGATAAGGAATTAATTTTTTTTTCTGCTTTGCAGTTATCAAATAATTACTTTATGGAAGTTAATTTAAAGAGATAGAATCTTTTTCATGTGGCTGTTAAGAGTGGTGGCATTCCTGACACATGCAGAGATGCTTCACTGAACAGACTTCTAGCAGTGCAGGACAGATTCCAAGAGCAACTATGAAATTCACGAAAAAGTGCTGATTTTAAATATGTGTGAATTAACATTCAGATAACAATTAAAAATAAGTCAACAATATTGTTTTGTGTTAGGTCCAGAATTCATTGTTCCATAAACAGTTATTGAAAAAGTGCAACACTGGTGAACATAGAGTATTATAGCACTCATAGCACTCATGGCACTATGTTATTGGTTTTGTAAAAAAAATCTGCCATTAACATTTTCCGTTTACTGAGCCTCCTGGGAGATCAGTATTAAGGTCTTGATCTTGCTGTAAGATGTATGCATATAGCAGCTAAATTTAGCCTTCCCAATCTGCTCAAAGATTTTTGTTTCCTTTAGTGAAAAGTAAACATTATATCTCTGCCAGGACTTTCTGGTCTTCCAATATTTCAATTATGTAAGTCTTAGTCCTATTCTCAATATCTTTCATCCAGCTGGAAAATAGATACTTTTGTAACATTATCCTTTCTTTTCCTGGAGAGATACAGATAAAATCCTCCTAGAAGTAGCTCCTGAAATAATAATGAAAATTGTTATTATTAGTATTTGTTTCCATATGCTTTTTTCAAATTGTAACTTCAAATGTATATAAGGAATAGGCGATGCTCCTGCTTGCTGTGTGGTTACTTAAATTGAGTTAATTAAGAACAAAACTTGGGCTGATCAAGATGATCATAATTTGTCACAGCAGTACTGGGTTGGCAGAGAACAGTTCTGTAACCCAATAACACGGGCTAATAATTTTACTTATGAGACTGTCTGTGTTCCTTAATGTTCAAGATGCCAGCAACATCCAATAAAAATTTATTTTATAGAAGTGATTACTGTGTAGCGGTATTCCCTATAGTAAGGACCTTAATGCTCCCATGAAATGTCTGTTTTCCAGCGTTTGTCTCCAGCCTGTTGCTGACAGGTTGCTCATGGACTTTGGAGCTTTGTCTCTTTCTTTAGCACTTTTAGTGATGCTTTTCCCAAAGCCTGCTTCTAAGCTCCTATCTCATTATGTTCCTAAACTTTCTACAGGTATATATATTGAGTGCTTGCTCTTCAGGCTACCAAAATTTCATTTGTTTACACCCTTCTCAGACTTATGGGAAGCCATAAGACAGATACAAAACTTTCCTGAACACTCTTTGCTTCAGTCAGAGTTTGCAGAACTATTGGCTGAGTTCAAATCCACGCAAATCTAGAAACCTTCTCAGCATCTGCTAAACTACCCTATCCCAAGGCTGCTGGGGAAAAGGTCTTAGATGCAGCAGGCTGGCCTCCTAATGCTATTATAGTCCACAGGGCACAAGGAATTCCATCCATCACCTCCCAGGAGGAATTCTGCAGGCTTTGGGCACAGCTAGAGGAATATGTTCTGATGCGACTTTCTTTTCAGATAAACTTCAAAAAATTTTTGCATCAAACAGGGCACACCTCTGCAGTTTTGTCAGACAAAACTGTACTCCGACACTACGCTGAGAACTCCCTGTATTCATGCTGCCAAAAAAACATTTTAAAATGTGAAGGAGTAACAACTATAATCTGTCTTTGAAGATAAGAAAAGATGAGAGGGGGCTTGCTCTTCTATTGTTCTTCTTATCTGATCCAAGAATTGTGCTGGCATCTTTGAAAAGGTAAAGGAGTTCTTTTTCTGAGCAGAAGCTAATTGATTTTTACAATAGGCAGACTATTTTTGCTACCATTCTATGCATTTGATAGTTTTAATAAAAAAAAAAAAAACATTTTTTGCTTGTTTGCAAACCTCTTCTGTGCTTGTTTGCTCTTGAAGTTTCACCCCTCCTAGGCAAGTTTACCAACATTGTCTCCAGTGAAAAGACAGGTGTGATAACTTTTTTACACTCTGAGTTTGCACAAAACAGTTGTGCTCTAAGAATTAATAGGATCTCTGTTCAGCT